GTGTTGCTTAAGTTTCATCGGAAAGAAATTATACAGGAAATTAACTAATGACCAGAGGCGTAACAAATTGGTGTGAGAGAGTGGGACAAAAAAGAAAAAAAAGAAGAACAAGATGGAAATGAGAAGCGGCAAATCAAACTACAGCTTAGCAGATTTGATGGCAGCAATATAAGAGCAGCAAAAGAAACAAGAAGAACGAGAAGAGAAACTACAGCAGTGGTTGGAGGAGAAAGAAAAGAAACAAGAAGAGAGACAACAGCAGTTGCAAGAAAACCTGCAACAGTGGCAGCTCGAACAGCAAAATAAACAAGAAGAGAGATTACAGCAGTTGTTGGAGGAAAAAGAAAAGAAACAAGAAGAATGAGAAAAGAAACAAGAGAGACTACAGCAGTGGCAACTGGAACAAGAAAGGAAACATGAAGTACAAATGGAAAACATTAGTAAATTTCAAAGTGAATTAAATACATTAAAGGATAATTTATTGTATTTTACACAAGGAGGATATATTAGCCATCGACTTAATCAGCCCCAGACAATGACAAGCCCCTTCCTGACACCGCAGCTAAACCCTAATGCAGACATCTTCAGTCGTGTTAGAAGTCACATTCCAGATATGAATGTCAGCAATATGGGTGATCCAGTATGAAGGAAGCCACAGGAATTCGATGGGAAGGCACTGTGGGAAGCATATAGAGTACAATTTGAGCTACTGGCAGAAATGAATGGATGGACAGAGGAGCAGAAAGTAGTGCATGATTGGCCAACACCAGACAATGTGGGAGAGTTAAGAAGTTTTATGGGATTCTGTACCTATTACCGGAAGTTTGTGAAGGACTTTGCAACTATAGCTACTCCACTACATGATTTGACTAAAAAAGGCCAGAAGTTGGAATGGACAGTTTCTTGCCAGCATGCTTTTAAGACATTGAAAGAAAAATTGGCCTCAGCTCCACTTTTAAACTTCCAAATCCCTCACTGCCATACATACTGGATTGTGATGCTAGTAATGTCAGAATTGGAGGAGTGTTGTATCAGAAAGTGGGTGAAAACGAACATGTGGTGGCCTACTTCAGTAGGGTCCTGAGTAGACCAGAGAGGAACTACTGTGTAACATGGAGGGAACTCCTTGCTATAGTAAAGAGGCTGACATATTTCCATCCTTACCTCTATGGCGCCAGCTTTACCATCAGGACAAGCCATGCTGCATTACACTGGTTAAGATCATTAAAGAACCCAGTGGGACAATTAGCACATTGGATCGGAAAGATAGACCAGTATAATTATGATATTGAATACAGAGAAGGAACATCTCATAGAAATGCCGACAGACTGAGTTTAATGTAAGTGGCTATTGTTCAGGACAAACAATACTAAGGAAGGGGCAGTGTTTCGACAGCGGGGGTCACATGAC